GTGGCTGAGGGGGGCTCGTCGGACATGCGTCAAATTTAGGCGACGTTTGTGCCGAGGGCCAATCCAGGGGTCTCAGTATCAACAAGCTCCGTAGGTTCGCGTCGCTGGCCAAGGCCCCCCAAGGGCTTTGGCTCCAGGGAGCCTTGCCACAGTCGGTGTACGGACGCCAGGTCATGGGACATTCCCCGTCGGCTACTTTGCAACGCTGGCGGCCCAGGCGGTCGCTGGACGGGGCCCGGGACACTGTCTCACCACAACTCTGGCGATTTGGTACGGGGACAAAGACCCAGGGATTAGCTCGCGGACGCAACTGGCCCGCTCCTGGCCGCATATCTGGGACAAGCGCCCCTCCCTCCATCCTGGGATTTCCATGGCGTGGCCCTCGGTGGCCGCGCGGCTCGGGCACGGACCCAAGTTTGGGCGGAGGAAAGTTGGCAGGGCCACCGGGGCCATCATCGCCACCCTGAAAGACGCGCGTTGGCGACCTGTTTCCCCCACTGAAAGGCGCGGGCCTGTCGGGCCAGATACTTTTGAAACCTGGCAATTTCCTAACATCGAGGTTGTTTTAGTCGCTGGCGATTTCGATATCGCTGACCTCGTCAGCCACCTAGCCGAGGGCCTGAAGGCCCAGCTTTGGGAGCAAGCGTCGAAGCACCCTCCCGGTGAAGACATCGCTGCAGGGGCCGATGTTGTCATGCTCAGGTCTCAGCTCCAGAGGTTCCTCAAGAAAGAGGAATGTGACCTCGGTGGGTATATGGTCACTGTTGCTGCTGGCGGCCAATGGACGCATCAACGTCAGCTTTGCCAAGGGCATGCAGCTTCGCCCAAGTGCCCGCGCTGCCGAGCCCCAGAGAAATCCCTGTTCCATCGGGCTTGGGAATGCCCCAGCAACCGAGGGAACCCTGCCAACGAGAGAGCCATCCGAGCATTTAGTTCCCCAGGCCCGCGCGGGCCAACCCGAAGCTTTGATCGCGTGGGCTCCCGCCGCGTAGCTTCACGTGTCCCGACTGCAATGAGGGGCGAGGGCGTGGAGCGGGAGGCCGGTGGGGATGCGGAAGCGGTGCTCCTTTTAGCTGAGGATGGCTTCCTTTCAGTTTCTGGAGACGGCTCGGGCGGGTAGTTTAGCAGCGACCCCCGTCGCCGACGTGTGAGCGCGGCTGCGAACACGCTGACAGCCGCCTCGGGGGGCTGGCGTCGGGTCCGCGGGTTTGCCACGGCCCTTGGGGGTCGCCGTCAAACTGCGCCCAGGGCCGAGATCCGAGCTTTCGAGCTTGCGCTCAGGAAGTTCCCTGGCCAGGTGCGTTTCGTTAAGCACAATGCTGCCCTGCAGAAAGGGGTGGTTTGGGGGGCAACTCCGATCTGTGGCTTCGCGTCCGTGCTGCCCCCTCGGAACGAGGGGAGGGAGAGGTCCAGGCGGTGTGGTACCCGTCGCACCTGGATGCTGAGGGCCCCTCCCTCTCCTCCCCAGAGCGGTCGCACGCCAGGGAGAATGGCTTCGCCCACGCGCTCGCGGGGGATGCGGCCCAGTTCTCTCCTGGAGCCATGGCCTGCACGGCCAGAGACCTCCCGACACCGGCGCTTGGGACTGCACAGCGGCGCCGGGGAGGCGCAGATTTGGACGCCCGAAATGGGTACGGAAAGAATGGGCTGCTTACCAGCCTGGAACATATCCCTACTAGAACCACGCGCGCGCTTCGCGCGCTTAGGTTCTGTCGAGTCACAGACCCAGGAATCGTGGAACCCCTCTCGGGCCCATCTTGGGGCTCTCTTGGGCCGCCTTTGGAGCCTCTTGGGGCGTCCTGGGTCTCTCGTGGGGGCTTCTTGGAGCTCTCTTGGCGCCTCCTGGAGCCTCTTGGGGCCGAAAGCTCGGAATTCTACAGTGGCTTTCTCCCTCTGGGACCCCTCTCGGGCACGCCTTGGGGCTCTCTTAGGCCATTTTGGAGTCCAATTTTGAAGTCCTGGGCGCCTCGTGAACCGTCTTGGAACTCTCTTGGGGGCCACCTAGGCCGTCTTGGGAGCCTCTTCGGACGTGTTGGACGCGGTGAAAACCCAACAGGCGACCATGCGAAAAGTATACATTTTCCCCTAGGAATGGCACGATTTTTGTTTCTTGGACCTCTCTTGGGGTGCCTCTCGGAACGTCTTGGGCTGATTTTGGAAGCCTTTTGGCGCCTCTGGGCGGCGTTTTGGCGCCTCCTGGGATGTGTTGGGCCGGAAGCTCGGAATTCGAGAGTGGCTTTCTCCTTCTGGGACCCCTCTCGAAGTCGTCTTGGGGTTCTCTTGGGCCGTCTTGGGGCCGTCCTGAGCCACTCGTGCGCAGCCTTGGAGCGCTCCCGGAGGCCTCCTAGGCCGTCTTGGAGGCCTCTTGGGCCGTCTTGGACGCGGTGAAAGCCCAAGATGCGAACATGCGAAAAATATACGTTTTCCCATAGGAATGGCACGATTTTTGTTTCTTGGACCTCTCTTGGGGTGCCTCTCGGAACGTCTTGGGGTGCTTTTGGGAGCCTTTTGGCGCCTCTTGGCGGCATTTTGGCGCCTCCTGGAGCCTCTTGGGCCGGAAGCTCGGAATTCGAGGTTGGCTTTCTCCGTCTGGGACCCCTGTCGAACTCGTCTTGGGGCTCTCTTGGGCCGTCTTGGGGCCGTCCTGAGCCACTCGGCCGCAGCCTTGGAGCGCTCCCGGAGGCCTCCTAAGCCGTCTTGGAGGCCTCTTGGGCCGTCTTGGACGCGGTGAAAGCCCAAGAGGCGAACATGCGAAAAATATACGTTTTCCCGTAGGAATGGCACGATTTTTGCTTCTTGGGCCTCTCTTGGGCTGCCTCTCGGAGCGTCTTGGAGGCTTCTGGGACCTTCTTGGTGTCATGACAGGCGTCTTGGAAGGCATCTGGAGCCATCGGAGCGCGTTCCGAAGCCGCCTGCGAACGATCTTGGACGGCGTCCGGCGGTCCGACGAGCCTCCGGGCCCCCTGGGGCCCACATTTGTGGTCGAGGTCCCGGCCCCGGGCCCCCGGACCCGGTGCGCCGTTATATGTATATCCCCATGTTGGGCATCGCCTCATCACGATTGGCGATCTTAGGGATCTCCTCAGGTGTATCCCTAAGATTGTCATCTCCTTCTGGCGTGTCAATCTTAGGGATAGGGATATGTTCCAGGCTGGTAACCTGCGGCACGTCTGGCGGAGTTCAGCTCCAAGTCGTGTACTGCCGCGGCCCACGGCCACTCGTGTCTGGCCGAGTCTGGGGCGGTGCGTGCGGGCGTGTGCGACGGTGACGGTTGGGGGGAAGGAGCGTCACGCGTCTCACAATTTGCACGCCTTGCCCAGATGTGGGTCGCATGTTTTTGTTGACGTGTGGTAAAAGGGCCACGGAGCACCCGCGCCATCTTATTTCGGAGCGCATGACCCGCACCGAGAGGGCCTCGAGAACCTCCAGAGAATTCAAGAGCGGTGTTTCCCCAGCCACCAGGGTCCGCCCAAGGCGTCTCTGGCCAGAGAGCTGGGCATTGTCAGGCGGGAGGCCGCCCTCCGTGGGCCGCCGCTTGGAGCCCCCGTTGGCTAATTCGCAACCACCTCGTGGGTACCAGCGAATTCCAACAAACTCCTCCTCCTCCTCCTCCTCCTCCTCCTCATCCGCCTTCACCTCCTCCTCCTCCCTCCTCCTCCCCCTCCTCCTGCTAACCCTCTTCCTCCCCCTCCTCCTGCGAATCGGGATCAGGGAGTTCCAAGTGGCCACGAAAGGCCTCGGCTGGGCGCTCGGGAGGAGGAGGTAGGAACGAGGGATGAGGGAGAGAGGCGGCGGAGGGGGGGGGGGCAAGGGAGGAGGGGGAGGGGGGGGGGAGGAGGCACGGGGAAGGAGGCGGGGGGGAGGATGTCTGAAAAGGGAGGACGAGGGAGGATGGAGGAGGAGGAGGAGGAGGAGGAGGAGGAGGAGGAGGAGGAGGAAAGGAGGAGAAGGAGGAGGAAAAGGAGGAGGAGAAGGAGGAGGCCCAGTGTAGACCCAAGAGTCATCAACGATGTTGGAATTAACCCTCCCTCCAAGCTCACTCTTCGTCGCACCCTACAACGGTTCATTTCCATTGAGGGAACTGCCTCGTTGGAAGACAACCGTTTGAAGACCTTGAAGCATGCCAAAACATTATACTCGGGATGTCCACGCCACGGATCAACCTGACTGCTGCGCCCTGACGATCTGGAACCATGCCAGAACGCAATGTTTCGGACTTCAACACCGTGAATCGGCATAACTGCTGCACCCGCATAATCCTGAATCCGTCAAAGAATTCTCGTACGCTGATCATGGGAGTACGTGCGAATGTCGAAAGAAAAACGAATGCGCGCGGCGCTACGGCCAGGGCCGCATGTTGAAAACCACCCGCCCTCATTAGGAGAAACTCTTGCGAATGGTTCAAACGAATGTGCGCGGCGTTAAAGCCAGGGCCGCATTTTGAAAACCTCCCGCCCTCAATCCGTGAAACCCTTGCAAATGTTTAAAACGAATGTGCGCGGCGCTCAGGCGAGAGCCACATTTTGACAACCACCAGCCCTCAATCCGTGAAACGCTTGCAATCGTGTGTAACAAATATGCGCGGCGCTAAGGCGATAACCACCTGTTGAAAACCACCTGCCCTCAATACGTGAAGCTCTTGCGGTTTTTGAAAGCAGATATGCGTGGCGCTAAGGCGAGAGCCACATTTTGAAAACGACCCGCCCTCCATCTGTGAAGCCGTCGCCATTTTCTAAGCTTCAGAATCGTAAATGGTGAGGAAGTCTCAGGCGAAACGTCCGGCCCGGCCTAAAAACTGGCCGCGGAGTGCGACAGGAAAAATCAGTTGATCAGGAAAAGGAATGGAAGAGGATCAGGAGGAGGACGGAGGAGGATGGAGAAGGATAGAGGAGGAGGAGGAGGAGGAGGAGGAGGAGGAGGAGGAGGAGGAGGAGGAGGAGGAGGAGGAGGAGGAGGAGGAGGGGGGGAGGATGGAGGAAGGCCCCGCCAGTGCGCTCAGCCTCCTGGCCCTGCCAGCGGGCAGTGACCTCCTCGACCAGGGGGTCCTGGGGCGTCGCGGCCCTCCCGCACCGGCCCTCTGGCAAAACCGCTGAAGGGGAGGGGGAGCAGAGGGAGGGAGGGGGGAGAGTAGACGAGGGGACAGAAAAAAAGGGAGGAGGGGAGGACAGGGGAGGAGAGGAGAGGACAGGAGAGGGGGGAGGCGGGGAGAGCAGAAGAGGGGACAGGAGGGGAGGGGATCCTGCCCCTTCCCCTCTGCCTCCCTCCCCCCCAATCCACGACTACCTCCCTGCCGCCCCCCCCCCCCCGCATTCTCCTTCCTGGCCCGACCTACCCCCCACCAAAAGAAAACCTTCGGGGGGGGGGAGCGAAAGGCGCGCTCCTGTATCAGGCGAATCTCTTCCGCCCCTCCCGTCGCATCGCCCCTGCACCCCCTCCCAAGGGGTGCCGCCGCTACCGCGCTCCGCCGCTGCCGCGCTCCGCCGCCGTCCCCTCGAAGCCGCCCGCGGCGCTCCGCCGCCGCCCCCCCAGAGGGGAGAGCCCCCGAGAAGGCCCGCCGAGGCCCAGGAAGCACCGCCAAGGCCCCCTCGAGGCCTCCGCGCCGCCGTCGCCGCCGCGCCGCCGGCCACCACCGCGCGTGCGCCGCCGCCGCCGCCGCCGCCGTCCGCGGCGCGCCGCCGAAAGAGCCGCCGCGCGTCGGCCGGGCCGCCGAGGCGATGGGCGCACCCGGAGCGCCACGAGCCGGCTCTCGGACGCCGTCGGGGGGGCGAAGGCGGCCCTGCGGGGCGCGCCGCGCCGCGCGAGGGGGCCGCCCAGGTGGCGCGAGGCTGGGCCGCGCGCGCAGTGCGGCGGGTGCCCGCGGTGGCGACGTGAGCCCTGGCTTCGGACGCCGCCCTCCTCTGCCGCGGGCCCTTGGGGGCGCTCACGGCCCCATCTCTCGTAAACTCGGCGGCGTGAGCTGCGGTCGGTGGGCCTCGGGTCCCGAGGCCCCCGAATGTCCGAGCTCAGACGCCCGCGCCGGCGTCGCCGCCGCGTCGAGAAACTCCGAGTCTCCAGGGGAGAAGGGGGCTGGTACCTCGGGGATGGCTGACGTCAAGCTGTGCTGGCGAGCCAGGTTGAGGGGGCAAGCCAGCAAGCTCAGCGTCGGGGGTGGGAGACTGGGAGAGGGGGAGAGGGCAAGCTAGGTCCTAGGTGCCAGGTGCGCTCGCGTAACATCTGACATCCTAGGCCTCTCACTCACATTGCGTTGACTTGCTCCATCTCCCGACGAGTGTCATAGCGGAACTGGAACCGCCGGGGGGACCCCGTCGTCTGAAAACGGGGTCTGATCACATCGTAGGAGGTGGCGGAGCAGGAGGATGAGCACGAGCACGAGGAACAGAAAGAGGATGGTGAAGGATGAGGGCCAAGGAGGGACAGCAGCAGCAGCAGCAGCAGGAGGAGAAGCGGGAGGAGGAGCAGGGGAAGGCGGGGGAAGGGAAACGAAAGGAGCGACAACGATGAGGAAGCACCCGGATCCAGATAAGTGGCCGAGCCCCAAACGAGGCAAACGCTGCAGAGGGCGCAAAGTTGCGAAATACCGAGAACGTTCCGAATCAACAATAACACTAGTGATGATAATAATGTGCCAAACACCGAGAACGTATATAAATGCTACATAATAATAATAATAATGATAATAATACTAATACTAATAATAATAATACTAAAAATTATAATGATAATAATAATAATAACAATTATGATGATAATAATAATAATAATCATAATAATAATACTAATAATAATAATATTGAACATAAGAACAATCACAGTAGTAATGCGAATAACCATCATAGATACAATAATACAAATAATAAGGATAATGGAAATCGTATATAAGCTACAAATATACATATATATGTATAAATATATACATAAATACGAAACACATACTTTATAGAAATCCCAAAAAAAAACTATTACAAAAAAAGAGAGATTAAATCCGCAGGCCCCCTTGCGGGGCGGTCAGACTCCGCGGCTCAGGCTTGCTGCTCCCTGCTCCAGCTCCGGTTGCCAGCCTCCGATGCTACAGTTCTGCGGTCTGCTTCCTTCGGCGGTGGACAAACCTCCCTTCAGTAAACCACCCTTTAGTGAAAACGGCCTGGGACCGAAACCGACTGACCTGAACCCGCAAAAGTGACGGCCGCGACGCCCTCTCGCGAACCGAAACGGCCAATTCGCTAGTCGACGTGTCAGGGTAGGAGGTCTGTCCACCCCCGATTCCTGTTGAGAAGTGTTGAAGAGTCCTCGCGAGGGGGGGGGCCGAAAAGGGTACTGGGTTATCTTCACACGAGAGGGGGTTCTCAGAATTGCTGGGGGTCCTGGGCCACGCAAAAAATTCATGATTCGCGCCCCCGAAGTCAAAAGCCCTCGTAAACTACGCCGTAGCCGTGCCGCCGAGGCCATAGCCCCTCGTAAGTTACTCTGGCTTTCGCGTCCCCGAGGCCATAAGCTCTTGCCACATACGTCGTGTACTCGTTACCGAAACCACAATTACCTACCAGTAAATTAACACATGCTTGCGCCCCCGAAGCCACAAGCCTTGGTAAATTAACCTTAAGTCGGGCGTGTCCCCCTACAGGGGGATTTTCGGGGCGAGAAATTAAACAATACACCAAACATACTCCAAACATGATCAAAAAAACAGTCCCCAGACTATGTTTGGAGTACTTCTTGGCTATTTGGGAGTATTGTTGGTGGTATTTTGTTACTTCTCGTCGAAAACCCCCCTGTGGAGGGGACACGCCCGAATTGAAGTGAACCGTTCTTCGCACCCCCAACGACCTCAGAAGCCCTCGTGAATGACGCCACGGTCGCGCCGCCGAGGCCATAGTCCCCCGCGAAAGTACGCCGTGCTCGTGCCCCCGAGGCCACCAACCTTTTCAGAGTACGCGGTTTTCGCGCCCCCGAAACCATACAGGGCAGTTTTTCATACATAGGGTGTTTTCAAAAAAATGGTTTTAATACATGATCAATGTATGAATAAATGTATGCATTAACTCACCGTTGTTTGTAATACTAAATCCTTGCATGTTTAATACATGATCCGCACGCGGAGCATGGATTAAAAGCGGCACTGTAATTCCGTGCATTTAGCTAGGGGGCCACATGCGAACCCTACCCCTATATACCCCCCACGATTTCTGAGGGGAAGGGTGGGGTTCACTTCGCTCGGGAGCTCCCGAACGAAGTGAACCCCACCCTCCCCCTCAGAAATCGTGGGGGGTAGGGGTAGGGTTCGCATGTGGCCCCCTATTGATATTAATAATTGCGTCTCCGGAACAGTATGTTTTGTAGAATTGCAGATGCTTGTGTCGCGAAAGCCACAAGCTCTCGTCAAGTACCCGTTGCCCGTATCCCCGCAGTCATACGCCCTCGTTAAGTACGCAGTGTTTACGCTCGAGGCCACGATCCTTTATAGAAGGCCTCCATGACGGTGCAAGAGGCCTCCGAGACGGCCCAAGAGTGCTCCAAGGCGCCCAAAATGGTCCCAAGACGGCCCAAGAGGCTCCCAAGGGGCCCTCAAGAGCGCTCCAAGAGCACCTCCAAGAGGGGCCCAAGAGGTCAACTTCTGCGATGCTCTTTAAGCTTGCATGCCCCATTCTCCGAGAGGGGGGCCCGCGGCAAGGGGGCGAGGCCCTCACGTGCACATCAGACACGAAGAGGGCGGGACCCTTTCAGCACGTAGTCGGGGAAGAGAGGAGAGTAGTACTGCTAGGGAGTGATGCCGGAGAGACGGGGAGGAGGTGAGAGAGGAGTATGGCGAGGATGATGTTTAAGGACTTCGACGCTGATGAAGCAATGACCTGTCAGCAGTGGCCAGCACGCAACTCGCAGAACATCAGTGAGATAACAGCTGTGCTGGGGCACCCAGGTCAAGGCGGAGTGGGGGAGAGAAATGCGAAATTGGTTGACTGGTGTATTGGGTTGCGGTGTAAAGGGGGGGTACGTTCGGACCCTCCTTTATGGACGTCTTCGTTGGCCGAGGGTCCAAAAAGGAGTCCTCGGCAGGGAGGGGGAGGACGAGGAGGAGGCGGAGGGAGGGAGGATGGAGGGAGGGAGGGAAGGGGCACAGAAGGGGAGGAGGCGGAGGGAGGGAGGGAGGGAGGGAGGAAGAGTGAGGGAGGGAGGGATGGAGGACGGGAGGCGGAGAGGGAGGGAGGGGGGGAGAGAGGGAGAGAGGGAGGGAGGGGAGGGGCACAGAAGGGGGGGAGGCGGAGGAGGAAAGAAGGGAGGGAGGGGTTTCAGGAGGAGGATGGGAGGAAGGAGGAGGAGGAGGAGGAGGAGGAAGGGAGGGAGGAGGAGGAGGAGGAGGAGGAGGACGAGGAGGAGGAGCGAGAGGAGCAGGAGGAGGAGGACCAGGCCACCGGCTGCTCGCTACGCTACTCAGCGAGACATGCAACAAAATGGCGAGGCCACTGGCTGCTCGCTCAGCTGCTCTGGGCCCTCACGGGCACCGCTGCGTCTACTCGCCTCACCTGCTCCCGCGCTGCCCCCCACAGCCTTGAGTCGATGCCGCCTGCGCTAGGTCGGATCGCTGCACTCCCTTCGATCAGAACGCTACGAGCTCCCGCCCAACGTAAAAACACTGGATACAGTCGGGGCGTTGACCTAAGGAACCCTGAATAAGGAACGAGGCCCCTTTTTTCCATAAGTTAACCTTCGACTTGCTATCGAAGACATAAGGAAAGCCTGAGGCAAGCTGTGAAACACTTAAGGAACGCGGAGCCCCTCCTCAACGAAAAGGGTTCCTTCTTCAGCGCCCCGACTGTAGGGGAGGCATTGGCGGGCGCGCACGTGCAGTGCACCCAGAAAAAGATCGGATACCATGTGACAGCGAGGGTGACGGGAGAAACACTACACATGCGGTTCGATGATCAGGCGCAGCCACCAGAAGCATTCGGCGCCAGAGCGCGCTTGCAAAACAAAGCCACCTGGAAGAATGGCGCAACATGATCCCAACCCATCCTCAGCCGCTATCTCCACACCGCGTCCCCATCCACCCTCGCCCCTCGCGGGGCTTCGGCCGTAATTCGAATGCGCATGCAAGTCCCCCGAATGCCATCCCTGCGTGAGATGAAGGTGCGGAGGAGAAAAGCAGCAGTCGCGGAGGGGAGAAAGGTGAGGCGCACTGCACCACATGAGCGAACGCGCCAAACAGAAAACAACCCTCAATACGGATCACGCCAGACCACCCGCTCAAGCTCTGCCTCGTAGCAACCATCGAGTCGCACATCGCCCTGTCGGCCCATAGTGGTGGATCTTCGTCCAGAGACCAGATTTGCAACTCTAATTCTACAATTGCGATAATCATGCTCCTCCCATCATACCGAACTGAACAAGTGAAAGAAGAACAACCGGCAGAGTGCACACGCGCGCTCAGGTCGCGCCTGGCGAACTTAGCGTCAAGCGCAGGATGAAGCGTGGTACTCCTGAGGACTGGCAGGAGTATAGAGGTGAGCGACTGTGTGATTGCCCAAAACCCCAAAGTCTCCCGCCGTTCCGTTCACCTTCCAACATCCTCCGCATCCTGCTCTTTCTAGTGCATGTTGCCTCCGCCCCTTGACCAATACCGCCAAAGCGTGCAAGAAGGATGAATGGCAAAGATACACCCCTTGAACACCAAGGTTAGAGCGCTCTGAGCTACGTGGTGGCTGAGGATGGGATGAAGAGGCAAGGATGCAGAGGTACACTTGGACATACTACTCATCCAAACCATGAGCGTTGACTGTTGTGCATCTGGGGATCGCACAGAACAAAAATCGTTGCTGACGAAACACTTTGCGTGCCAGGGCACCTCCGCCGATCAGGATCGTGCAAACTCCAACGAGGACCATCCATAGCACCATGATTGCCCGCACACCACAAAATTACCGTGCCTGAACCGTGCGAATAATACGCGGACCCTTTTCACTAAGATGCATCCCGGTACACCTCATCAAGACATCCCTTCCCTCCTTACCCTCATCTTTCCATTTCTCCCTCTTCTCCTGCTCCTCCGCATGATCCTTCCCTCCTCCTCCTCCTCCTGCTCAGATCCGTCCCGATCCTCATCTGCCGGCTCCTGCCCCTGCTCCTGGAGCCTTCTTCCCTATAAATACTTCCTCCCCGTCGCACCCCGAGACGGCCAGGGCGGGGGCCCAGCGATTCGCCTGAGATATCCTCACAATGTGTGACCCTCAGGCTGAAAAGTTGCAACAGCATCACGGTTGGAGGTCAGATCGTTTTCAAAATGAGGCCCTCGAATCAGCGCCGTGCACATTCATCTGAAATGTTTGCAAGAGCTTCACGGATGGAGGGCGGGTCTTTTTCAAAATCTGATTCTGGCCTCAGCGTCGCGCGCATTCGTCGTAGAAAATGCACGAGCTTCATGGATGGAAGACGGTTCGTTTTCAAACTGTGGCTCTCGCCAGAGCACCGCGAACATTCGTCTCAACAGCTTACACGAGTCGACGGATTCGAATGGCGACGTCCCAGAAATGGTGTGTTCGACTCGAGTCAGGACTGCAGAGCGAGACGGTCACATGGATTTGTGGTGCTGCAATCTCAGGAGCTGCGTTCTGGCACTTCCAGCTCGTCAGGACACAACAGTAGCTTTGGTTCGCGCCGTTGAAGTCCCAGGAAGAGTCCTTTCACATGGTTGAAGATGTTCAGACCGTTGTCTTCCAACGGGGCACTTCCCGCAGTGAAAAAAAACCCTTGTGGGGACCTATGAAGAAGCAACTTGGAGAAAGGGTTATTTTTGGAGGTAGGGAAGCGGTGTGGTAAAGAACGGTATGGTGCCAGTGCTGAGAAAGAATGGCGATGTTATCTACGATAGCGGCAAATGCGTTGCATCCCGATGTCGACATATTTGGCTTTGCGTCGGCCGCCTCAAAAAACGCTCAAATTGCTGAGCCCGACTTCCCCAAACGACTGCAGTCCTATGTGAAGAACATCACAAGAACCTGTTCCAAGACGCCCCATTACCAGGCACGCATGTCCTGAAATTCCAAATCGCGAAAAGAAGGTGATTCCAAAATTTCCGTATAGCCAAAAACCGTACTTCCAGAAATTCCAGGAATATGAAATCTTGCTGTTTCTATACGAACTAGATTACCGGAAATTCCGAAACGACTGTCTGGAAATTCCGGAAATCACAAACATAGAATTCTGGAACATCCGGAATATAAAAAATCGCGAGCCTGGCGATAGGGTGTCATGGAATGTGCATTTGCGTCGCCGCTTAGATTGGACGGCGCTGGTTTGGGAAGTTTGAATTAAAGTTCTGACTGTGTTTGAAGCGGTCGACACAAAGCTAAAGTTGTTGAAATCGGGATGCAGCCCACTTACCGCTGTCGTAGACAACATCGCCATTTGCAGCACTTGCGCCACACCCCATTGTACCACCCCCCTTTCAGACTTCTGGATTAGCGCCTCATATTTGAAGAGCCTTGGGTTTACACTAGTCCTCCTCTTTCTCCTCCTGCTTCTCCTCCGCCTCCTCCACCTCACCCTTCTCCTGCCCTCTTCTTCCTCCTCCTCGAACTCTTCCTCCTCAAACGTTTCCGCCTCCTTATCCTTCTCCTCCTCCTCCTCCTCCTCGAACTCCTCCTCGTCCTCCTGAGCAGGGGACTGAGGACGCTGGAGGTTAGACCAAGGTACGGGAGGCAGGGGACAAGGGCGGCACGTAGACGTGGACGCAGAGAAGGACGAGAAGGAGAGGGACGGGGCGGAGGATGAGGGAGGACGGGGGCGAAGGGAGGGGTGGGAGGGAGGGAATAGCAGGTAGCAGGAGGCCGAGAGCAAGAGCGAGGAAGAGAAGGAGCGCAGCGGCACCAACACCAGCGGCACCCGCCGGCCCGTGCAACCACTCTAGCTGGGGGCTCCCCAGACCCCCGACGTCGTGATCTTTTGGCCTGGTAAGGGCCCCAGGAGGGCGAAAGTTGCGAAAAAACTCCCGTCGTGACTTCTGTCACAACGCGAGGGGGTTCTGGGTCCGCCCCGTGGCTGCGCACCCTTCTCTGGCTTCCCTGTGGCCGAGACCGCCGAAAGCACGAGGCGCGGTCGTGACTGCGCCGCTGCGGGTGACCCTCAACGAGCGCGTTCCACTACTCGCAGAGTGCCGACTCGCAAACGTAGGAAAGCACATGCTCGCCTCGTTACAATGGGCGGACTCAGGCCATTTGCGAGTAGCTACTCTGCGAGTACACGAACGCGCTTGTCGAGGCCCAGGCTTCAGCGCGTGCTGCCCACGGGCGCCCAATCTGCTCTGGAGGCTCCGCTTCGTGCCGGCGGCACCACGCACAAGGGGGTGGCGCGAAGGGGCGATCTTCTAAGAAACCCTCCTGGCTTAACACTGAGATCCTGGGGTTGCGATTTTTCAGAGGGCGGTTTCGCCCCGTTTCGAACCCCGTGACATCGATCCGGCTCCAAAGTTGACACAGGAAGACGGGGTCCAGGTGTCTGGTCGTGACTTCTTGTGATGCTACGTCTTTTCGCGACATCGGATCTCAGGGAAATCCTTCTTGAGAGCATCCAGGCCCTTCAAAGAAGGCCCCTGGTTTTTGATTTCAAAAACTTGTTTTTGAATACAAAACCTGGTTATTGAATTCCAAAGAACTGGTTTTTGAACTTCAACAAAAAATGTGCTTTATTCACAAGCTTGTCTTCGAATTCAAAAAACTCGTTTTGAATTAACTAAACTGGTTCTTGAATTAAAAAAACAGCCTTCAAAGAAGCACCCCAGCTTCTCGGCTTGCCATCGCTTGGACGCCCCCTCCCCGTGCCTGTTTTTCGGCTCCGTGCGTGTGTCGTTTCTCGCGGGATGGCCCGAAAGGCTCCTCAACGGCCCTCGCCGACGCGAAAGGCACGTTGCCGAGCGATGACGATCTGAAAATGATGACGATGATAAGGATGATGATGATGATGATGATGATGCTGATGATGATGATGGTGGTGATGATGATGACGATGACGACGATGCTGATGATGATGCTGATGATGATGATGATAATGATGGTGATGATGATGATGATGATGATGATGGTGATGATGATGGTGATGATGATGATGATGATGATGATGATGCGCCACCGCCCCTAACTATGCCGAGCCTGTTACCATTCCGCGTCCTTCAGCCCCACTCGTATGATAGAGGCCTCCAAGATGGGGTCCGAGCAGATGGGGTCAAAGGATCGCCCCGCATCACCAAAGCATCGCCGATGCATCGGCAATGCATCGGCGATGCATCGGCGACACATCGGCGACGTCGGCGATGCATCGGCGATGGCGGCGTGGAGAAACACGTGCTCCACATCGAGCCGCATTGTCGATGCATCGGCGATGCGGCGCGAGCCTCCGACCCCATCTGCTCGGCCCCCGGCCCCAGAGACCAAAGAAGCACTGACCTCTTCGCCGGGGCCGGCGAGAGCTGCGCGCAGCCAGAGTCAAGCAGAGGCGAAGCGTCCCGGCTCGCCTATAGGTCCACCAAAGAATGTTCTAGGAACGTTATTGTGGTCTGCACGAAATGTTCTTAGAACATTTCTGGCTGAGACTGTCTTGTTTTAACGCATCGGGCTCATGTTCTAACAATCGGGGCTGGACAGACCCCCTTTTAGTAAAACGTGGTTTAGTGAAAACGACCTGAGGCCAAAACCTGGCGGGCGCGAGCCTGGAAAATAACGGCCACGGCGCCCTCTCGAGAACCGGAAACGGACAATTCACTAATCGACGTGTCACTGTTGGGGGTTCTGCCCCCCCCCCGAAAGAACACTGCTTTTTGTTCTAAGAACATTCTTTGGGTTGAAAGAACATGTCGTGGTAGGACTACAGGAATGCTGGAGGAAAGCCCGCCGCCCCCGCCACGGGCCAGCGAGAGCTGCACGGGGCCAGAGGTCGGCAGGCGCTGGCGATGATGATGATGATGATGATGATGATGATGATGATGATGATGATGATGATGATGATGATGATGATGATGATGATGATGATGACGACGATGATGATGATGATGGTGATCATGCTCTAAGAACACTGCTTTTTGTTCTTAGAACATTATTTGGGTCTCTCGCCCCGGGTCCGTGTCCGATGGCCCGGGGGCCCCGAAAGCGGCAGCCGAGGTGCGGGACGATCCGGCCAGCCCCGGACGCCTCTCGGCGAGGCGCGCCGCTGCCGGAGGGCGCCCCGAGGCTGGACAGCCGCCGAGAGGGCAGCCAGGACGATCAGAAAGCCACAGAGCTCAAGCCGCCTGCAGTCGGGGCGTTGGCCTAAGGAACCCTAAATAAGGAACGAGGCCCCTTCTTTCCATAAGTTAACCTTCGATTTCCTTTCGGAAAACATAAGGAAAGCCTGAGGCAAGCTGTGAAACACTTAAGGAACGTGGAGCCCCTCCCCAACCAAAAGGGTTCCTTCTTCAGGGCCCCGACAGTACAGCCAAAACTGACAATAAGCATGCGCGGTGAGGATGCAGGGGCCTTGAACGCCCATGCCGAGGCTCTTCGAGCGGGGCTGGCCATCGGAAGCGGTTGAGAATGGACCGAAGATGACCGAAGAGGCAAGGATGCAAAGGTACCGTTGGCAGGTCGCTCAACCCTACTATCGGTTTCGACGGTAGCCCTCCTTGCCGTCGCTCGGACGTCCCTTCCACGCGCATGTGTCGTTCTCGCGCGTGCTTTTCCTGCCTGCTGATCCAGGATGTGCGGGACGGGAAAATGACCACAGCCACTGCTTCTTGTTTGCGCCGCCTTCCAGACGGCCGAAAAAGAAGCAGTGGTTGTGGTCATTTCCCTGGTGCCAAGCTCCACGAAAATGACCACAACCACTGCTTTGCTTCTGCGGGCTGGACGGCGGCAGTAAAAGAAAAGCAGTGGCTGTGGTCGTTTTCACGCCCGGTAGGACGCTCCTCGGTGCGCCTCGCTGAGAACAAATGCACACGTCCCAGCGATGCCAGGCCGCCCAACGGTCCTCCTCCTCCTCCTCCTCCTCCTCCTCCTCCTCCTCCTTCCACCTCCTCCTCCTTCCACCTCCTCCTCCTCCTCCTCCTCCTCCTCCTCCTCCTCCTGCTCCTCCTCCCCACAAGCAGCACGTAGAGGCAAGCGCCCGTGGGGGGGGCTCGCCGGGCGCCCAGGACCCCGCCAGTTACGCGCCGCGGCCCGCTCTGATCTCTGACGGGGAAGCCGCGATACATCATCATCGTCATCATCATCATCATCATCATCATCATCATCAGCATCATCATCATCAGCGTCAGCATCAGCATCAGCATCAGCATCAGCATCATCATCAGCATCATCATCATCAGCAGCAGCATCATCATCATCACCATCATCATCATCATCATCATCATCATCATCATCATCATCATCATCAGCATCATCATCATCAGCATCATCATCATTAGTATCATCATCAGCATCATCATCAGCATCATCATCATCATCGCCAACGCCTGCCGACCTCTGGCCCCGTGCAGCTCTCGCTGGCCCTTGGCGGGGGCGGCGGGCTCTCCTCCAGCATTCCTTTAGTCCTACCACGACATGTTCTTAGAACCCAAAGAATGTTCTAAGAACAAAAACAGCGTTCTTAGAACATGAGCCCGATGCGTTAAAACAAGACAGTCTCAGCCAGAAATGTTCTAAGAACGTCTGGTGCAGACCACAAAAACGTTCCTAGAACATTATTTGGTGGACCTATAGGCGAGCCGGGACGCTTCGCCACTGCTTGACTCTGGCTGCGCGCAGCTCTCGCCGGCCCGTGGCGGGGGCGGTGGGCTCTCCTCCAGCGGGCGCCTCGATGCGCCTCGATGCGTCTCGATGATCCAGGATGCTCCTCGATGCGTCTCGCCAAGAACAGGACGCACACGTCCGAGCGATGCCAAGCCTCCCAACGCTGCCCCCCATGACCTCCGGCTGCGTGCAGCTCTCGCCGGCCCGTGGCGTGGGCGGCGGCCTCTCCTCCAGCGGGCGCGCCCCTCCGCCCGGCCGCCGCCCGCGCCCTCCTGCGGCGGCTGGTGCCCAGCGGGCCCTCGCGCGGGCGGAGCCCCGCCGCGGCCAACGCCCCGCCACGGGAGGAGGAGGAGGAGGGGGAGGAGGAGGCGGAGGAGGGGGAGGAGGAGGAGGAGGAGGAGGAGGAGGAGGAGGAAGAGGAGGAGGAGGAGGGGGAGGAGGAGGGAGGAGGACCCGCCGCCCGGCCTGGGCCAAAAGTTTCGAGGACCTGACGCCTTCCACCCCGCCGTTGAAGGCTAGACCCAAAGGGGGCGCGCAAGCACGGATCAGCGATCCATGGGTCTGGCGCGCGGTCGCCGAATCCATGGATCGGGAGAGGTGCCTTCTCCAAAATGCGGCCGGTACCGCCGCGTTCAGCGGCGGAAATCCGCGATTTGCCACGGAACGGGACCAGTCGCTGATCCACGCCCCCTTGATCCATAATTTGCGATCGCCCGAGGTTCGAGGACCCGACGCCTTCAACCCCGCCGCTTGAAGGCGTCCCCCAAGAGGACCCTCCAACAGAGCCCAAGAGGCTCCCAAGAGAGCCCCAGGAGGGGCTCCAGAGCGTCGGCGTCGGCGTCGCCGCCGCCGCCGCCGTCGTCGTCCCCCTTCAGTGTCGGCGGCACCGGCCGCAAGGCCTGCCCAATCTTCAAAGATCTGACGCCTTCAATCCCGCCGTTTTTCCTTGATCTCCGCCTCCGGGGCAAGTTGTCGGGCCAAGGGGCCAAAAGGAACGGATCCTGTCAGAGGGCCCGGCCAGCTGGCAACAGGCCCCTTGTGGCTCCCACGATAGAAAAACGAGCTCCATACAGCGACGCATTTCCCAGCCCTGCACTGAAATTCTGCACACACGAAAGCGGATCCTGGTGTATACGGGATCCTGGTGTACACATTTGTCTGCGATTCCCTCAGAAACGGCTAGAGAAGCATACGCCACACCGCCCCAGCGCCGCCCCCCACCCTCAGAGAGTCACGGGATTGAAAACAGCCCGCCACTGGCAGTGTTAGGTCGGGCCTGTCCTCCTACAGGAGGGTTTTGGACGAAAGATAAAAATTCGACGAAAAACAATCAAGAATAGTCAAACAAACATTGTTTGACCATTTTTGATCCAGACTATTGGCCAAATTCTGAGACAGAAAAATCCCAAATGGCCAAATTCGTCCCCAGACTATTGTGTGACCATTTCTGAATATTCCTCCTAGAGGGACAGGCCCGGCTCCATGGCAGTGTGTATTGCTTTGGTCGCCGACACGAGGCCCAGCTGGGCCTGCGGACGCAGCCCACGAGGCTCCGCCCTCGCGGTGCCCCTGGGGACTCCCAGGTAGGGTCAGAGGAGGAGGAGGAGGAGGAGCAGGAGGAGGAGGAGGAGAAGAGGAGGAGGAGGAGGAGGGAGGAGGGAGGGCTCGGAGGATCGCGCAGCATCATCGATGCATCACCGATGCATGGGCGTTGCTGCGGCGACGCCGGCGTGGAGAAGATCTGGCTCCACGTCGAGCCGCACCGCCGACGCATCGGCGACGCGGCGTCCGACCCCGTCTGCTCGGGCCCCACCTGGCAGGCACAGCGGAGCCCCAGCGCGGAGTCCTCGCGGACCTCGCCCTTAGTGAAAACGGCCTGGGACCGAAACCGACGGACCTGGACCCGCAAAAATGACGGCCGCGACGCCCTCTCGCGAACCGAAAACGGCCAATTCCTTAATCGACGTGTCAGGGTAGGAGGTCTGTCCACCCCCGACTCGCTCAGGGCTCGACTCGGCACGCACGCAGTGCGCGCGGGGTCTGGGCAGGCCTGCGCGAGCTATGCGTGCGTGCCCAGGCTCCGGCAGTGGCCAGGCTGGGGCTGCTGGCGGCCGCACGCAGGCGCCCCCACAACAAATGTTGTCCCAAACCAACAGCGGCCGCTGTTGGGCAGGCGGCCTTCTGTCTCGAATGGACACAGGCCGCGGCGGCGTGGACAGCGAACCCTGTTCAAAATGAACAGGAACTGCTGTTGGGCATTGTACCCGTTCTTTCCGTGCCCAATTCGGGCGTCCAGACATGGAGCTGCGCAGATACGCCACAGGACAGTGTGCGGCGTATCACTTTCCGGCCTGTCCTCCGGTCCACGGGCGTCGAGACAGACGTGTGCGCTGTGCTCAGGCTCGCCTGTCGCCACTTCAATGGTGGACAAGCGAGACACTCGAGCAGGGGCCAACCGCCCTGGAACCCTTACAGGTCTAGAACGACATGCTCTTAGAACAACAAAATGTTCTAAGAACCTTGTTCGTGCAAACCAAAGGCTCTGAGAACATCCCCTGGTGGGCCTATACACATTCAAGGACACGTTGCCTCTGCTCGAGACACAGTAAGCATAGTGGGCATAACCCTTGAAAAAACCAAAAGCTACCCATACCGCTACTCCCCAGACCTCTCCAGGGGTGCGGTCTGACCAGGACGTCGAGGCGAATCCAGCGGTGGCGACGAGGTCCTCCAAGGAGGCCGAGGAAGGGCAAAAAACGGGAACATATACACGATGTGTGAAAACGCGACAGTCTTGGCCAAAACTGTTCTACGAGCATTTCGTGCAGGCTGCAAAAGGTTGTGAGAATATTTTTTGGTGGGCCCAAAGGCCAGCCAGGACGCTCCGCCACTGCTTGAGAGATCGCGGCACAGCGCTTAGGTCGGGCACGTCCCTCCGCAGGGGGGATGCTGGACGAAAAATAAACAATAGCCCAAAAGTACTCCAAACTATTCAAAAATAGCCACAACAAAACGTCCCCTGATTATTTTCTTAACTACTGCAGAGGAACAGGCCCGACTTGGCGCAGCGCAGCGATCGCTCGCTGCTGGGCCGGCTCCCCGCCGCTGGCGGCGCTCCGCCCCCGGCACCGCTCTTGGGAAACATCGCACTGAAGGACCGAATCCCATAAATTCACGTCGGTCGGAAGAAGTAGGTAGAAACATGAAGTAGGAAGGTGGATATAGTAGATTGGGTCCAGGTCCTCCCAGAGAATAACAAAACACAGTAAAAGCATGTCGATTCTTGAAGAAGGAAGGCCCTTGAAGTATATTGGGATCTGGGAATCCAAAAATACCTACTTTCGACGACCCGCGTGTAATTTCGAGCACCCAGAAGAAAAGTATCGAGACAGCGTCGAGCGAGCATCGCCTGGCAGGGCCCGACACGTGAAGACCCTCAGGTTTCGGTACTTTCTCGGTGCTCAAAACTCCTCCTGGTGATCAAGGCTAAAGCAGGTCGGAGCATCATAACCCTCGGGGCTGTGCCGAGCCCGGTGCCCAGGATCGGCGCACACAGTCGAGCTGCTGAGCTGCAAGGGGCCCAGGGGCACACAAATAGATACAAAAAAACTCATCCCAGGATTCTGAGAAGCAAACGAACCTCCCTCGCTTTTGACCACCCCCGCTTCCAAGCGGGAACCGAGCAGTGCCAAACTGTCCGCGGCGTGGCCGGCACCAGTCACATACGATGGGAAAGCATTCCCCAGATTTGCCCATTCCCCAGATTTGTCCATAACTGTTGCGTGTTCGTCCTCCACCCTCCCCCTTCCCATATTCTCATTTTCTGGGGCATCGACCACGAATTCTGTCTGTGTGTTCTTTCCCCTCCTGATACCCGTCGGTCGGAAGGGGCGGACAGAATTAATCAGAGATGGGGGGGAAAGGAGGGCGCAGCCTCAGAACGAGGCCGGGAGGCGGGCGGGCAGAAACAGGAACAGGAAGTATTTAGGCTGCAACTACTGGGAGATCTTCGTCGGAAGGATTATAAGGAGGATAAAGTTCCATTGGGGGGCTGCTACGCGGGAGCAAGCCGCGGATTGACCGGGATCGAGCGGGGTATTCAGCCGGATTTAGCGGGATGATTTCGAATTCAACGTGGCTACGCCGGAATACGCCGGATGTCGGACCAGGGCAGAGTCAGAATCTGATCCTCCAGGAGCTGCATCCGAGAGCTAGGGAGACGTTGAAAACAGATTGGGCTTCCGCCCGCCCCCTGAAGAGAAGGGAAGAGGGAGCGCCGCGCCACTCGACTTTCGAAGTCGTGGGTAGAGTCAAAACTGATGGCAAGAATGCGCGATAAGGGTGCAAGCCCCTTGGTCGGCCATGCCGAGGTTTTTCGAGAGGGGCTGGCTATCGAAAGTGGTTAAGGATGGACCGAAAGAGCAGGGATGCAAGGGTAGCATTGGGAAGGTGGCCCGTCCTCAGCATCGGTTTCGACTACGAGGAGCGCCACATGAGGAACGAAGCCCCCCTTGCTGCACCAGAGAAGCCTGGGGTGCACGAGGACGCTTAGAGGAACAGCCGCGGAGTGACCCAAGGAACAGCGAGCCCCTTCCGAGCCCAGAGCGGTCCTTCTTCTGCGCCTTGGCTGTAACCACGTGCCCTGGCTCCGCCAGGCCAGGCTTGGTTGGGCATGTCCCTCTGCAGAAGGAATCTGCAACAATAGACCAAAAACAGTCTTGAGAGGTGTTTGAACTATTTTTGCATAGTTTGAACATCCGTTCTGCTTGCTATTTTCAGCCCAAAACCCGCCTGTAGGAGCACATGCCCGACCTAAGGCCAGGGAGCGCATGCACACCGCCGGTCCCCGGCCCAGGGCCGGCCTGCGCGGGAGCGGCGTCGGCGCACGCTCGGCGACCCCCCCCCGGCCTCGCACAGCCTCTCTGCCGGCCCCGCCCCCCCAACCCGCCCCCTCGGGACGAGGGCACCGGGGGAGGGCGTGGTGAGACAGCGGGAGATCTCTCCCACCCGGCACGCCTCCGCGCGGCGTCCTCGGCCTCGTCGTCGTCCTCGGCCTCGTCGCGGTCGTCGTCCTCGGCCTCGTCGTCGTCGTCGACCTGTCCTCGTCGTCCTCGTCCTCGTCGTCGTCGTCCTCGTCGTAGTCGTCGTCGTCGTCGTCGCCGCCGTCATCGTCGTCGCCGTCGTCGTGGGCTCTGGCCATCTGCGCCTCCCCCCACTGCGGCAGGTTCGTGCCGTGCCGACGCTGGCGCTCTTTCCTGAAACCGCGGGGATCGTTCCCCCTTTAGTGAGCGTTTTATGATGCGGCGTTTCGACATGAAGCGAAGGAGGGGGGGAGGGGGAGGGTCTGGCCCTGGCTCTCTGCTCAGTGCGACTGTTTGGAAAAAGGGTGTCCAGTATGGGGGAGGCTCCACCTGCTCGACGCAGGCGCCAAAAACAGCGAAGATCTACTCCAGGGAAGGGGGGAAGAGGGGGTGCGAGGGCCCGCGCCGATCAGCAAAACATCTAATTAAAAAAGATCACTTAACGATCGGCTGTTTCCGAAACGTCCGAATCCTCAACATCGACCGATTCTGGGCCGCTGGCGAGGCTCTACGTTGAACGCTGGCTGCGGGGTCGCCCTCCGTCGACACGATGCGAACCTACCGTACATGTACCACGAGATCCGAAATCGTCATGTTTTTCATACGGCCCCCCCGGAGAAGTCTCAATCCATTCCCCAAGACTGGATCCTCATCCTGAGTCGGTGTTTGACAGTCCCGGGCCCTGGCGAGGGTTGGCGGCGCGCACAAGGGGGTGGGGGGAAGGGGGGGAGGCTTCTTAGAAGGAGGAAGCTTCTTTGAAGGCGCCAGCCTTACATCTACAAAGAAGGCCCGCGCCTTCTAAGAAGCAGGGGTGCTTCTACGAAGCCTTCCCCCTCCCCTCACCCCCCTCTGCGCGTGGCCGAGAAGGCTCCCAGAAACCGAAAACTGCAAAGATGAACTCCGGCTTGATTTTTTCAGTACGTTGATCTCGTCGGCCTCGTCCTCCTCCTCGTCCTCGTTGTCCTCGTCCTGGTCGGCCTCGGCCTCGTCCTCGTCCTCGTTGTCCTCGTCCTCGTCGTCCTCGACCTCGACCTCGTCGTCGTCGTCGTCCTCCTCCTCCTCGACCTCGTCGTCGTCGTCGTCGTCCTCGACCTCGTCGTCGTCGTCGTCGTGGTCGTCGTCGTCGTCGTCGTCGGCCTCGTCGTCGTCGTCGGCCTCGTCGGCCTCGTCGGCCTCACCGCAGAGCCCGAGGGCCTCGCCGGCCTCGCCGGCGCCGCCGCTCCAGCGGCGCGGCCTCCAGGACGGGTGGCGGCTGCCCGCGGGGCGCGCGGCTGCCCGCGGCCGGGGCGAGCTGCCTCACGCGACCTCGTCGTCGTTGTCGTCCTCGACCTCTTCGCCGACGTCGTCGTCGTCGTCGTCCTCGTCGTCGTCGTCGTCGTCGTCGTCGTGGTCGTCGTCGTCGTGGTCGCCGTCGTAGAGGACCCCCGCTCGTCACCCAGTCTGCCCCCCCTCGGGCACAGACGCCCGGTCCTGTGAGTATGGCGGCCCTGGCCCCGGCATTCACGCCTCGTCCAAGGCCGTCCGACAAGAGCCGAGGCCACGGCTGCTCTCCGAGGCTCTCCGAAGCCGCCCCGCTCGGCCAAAAACAAACGACGCAACCACACCTCCTCCTCCTCCTCCTCCTCCTCCTCCTCCTCCTCCTCCTCCTCCTCCTCCTCCTCCTCCTCCTCCCTCTTCGCCCATCCTCTCTACCTCCTCCCTCCTTCCTTCCCTCCCTCCCTCCCTCCCTCCCTTCCTCCTCCCACCTCCT